ACTACAGTAGGTTACACACTTTGTTTTCAAATTACACAAGTTGTTACACATAATGCAGACAGCATGTCGGCAATTTGAAGCGGATGGAAGCTCCGCCTGTAAAATTAGTTTTTAATTTCCAATAAATGATCGAGGCTCTCAACTTAATTTCCTACTTCAATTTGCGTCACATGTTATTTCTGAGAGGGACGCATAAAGTGGCGGCGCTGTAAAGAACGTTAGTTATTTTACAGAACCAGCTGACCGACTGATCATGGCAGAATTGTTGATCAAAGTGCATTATTACTACTATGGAAATATCCGTATCACGTCGATGTATATAACTGAAAGCTGCCTGCAACAAATGTTCTATGAAGACTTCGTCCAGTATATCAATAATGAAATTGAATACATAAGTACAATGGGTGTTATTCGATTATTAGTTCTCGACGATGAGAACCAAAAAGTTGATGTGCTATTAAAAAATAATCGCTTTAAAAAGCTTATCACTGGCAACACACGATCACACGTCCGGGGAGGGTTGCCGCCGTATACACACCGTCTTTTTTTTTGAATTTCCCGTTCCTAAATGCTCGGTCTCTACTTTTTATAATATAGTCTATAACATTGTCAGTCGCGGATTAGTCGCTCTTACGCTTTCTTGGCAGAATACTCTCGGTGGCAACAAAGCGTTTGATGATATTATATATACGATATTTTATGGTATTTGTATTTCTTTGTATTTCATTGTATTTATGTTCCTTACTATACAAAAATCCTCTGAAGGTTTTTAGTAGTGTAATAAAGTTATTATTATTAAAAGCTGTCTGGTTTGAAACACCACTTCGATCTCCAACCTCAGCAAATGACAGTCCACGAAAATATAAATCAACGAAAAACTCTTGTTCTCACTTTAACTGGTTTTTTGACTCCTTGCAATTAACACGATGACTGACCAAAAATGACTAAAAGACAGACGCGCCACAAAGTCTGGGGCATCGGACTTTGTAGCAAAAATTGAAAACATTGTGGGCAATATATGCCAATCATTCCTCTGATTTGCAGTCAATGTTTATATTTCTAGTTGCAACTCACGTAAATGTGAAATCTGTTCACATGCTCGTCGACGTTGGGTTATACCATTTGAATCATCATGGTCATTGGCATGGAAGAAGGGCTAAAATCAAATACTTTGTTTTCAAACTGAAACAACTACAGGAAGGAAGCAGTCCGTCGTCTACTCTGCTCTAAAAATCATGAGTCAGACCTGTTTTTGACACGATGACGGGTTGAAAGGAAAATAGACTATAAGATTTGAAACAAAATCTGAATTAAAACTTGTTCTCTCTCTTCCCCTTCTGTCTTCCATTCACGGAACGTCCACGGAAATTGCAGCAACATATATATTTTATATCTTATCGTTCATGTCCTTAGAGTTGTATATATTTATAAGATAAATGTCATATTATCACAAATTACACCAAAGTTCTTGATATATTCGAACGTGAAAATAAAATAAACCGACAAGACATAGCACATACCACACATTGATTTCAACCTCTTGCACACAAACATAGAAATTGACATCATCCTTCCCAAGAAGCTGACCAAAAAAAAGAAAAGAAAAAGGGAAATGGGACGAATGTGAATTGGGACAAATCGACTTGTGGGACGAATGTAAATTGGGACAAATCGACTTGTGGCACGAATGTAAATTGGGACAAATCGACTTGTGGCACGAATGTAAATTGGGACAAATCGACTTGTGGCACGAATGTCATGAATCATGTATGTATTCTGTACTTGTACCATATTGGCTTGATTAATAGGTTTAACTTCTTGTTTTCCCTTCTATTATAGGCTTGTAAATGCATTGAAGACACGACAATAACGAAAAGAAAAAAATACAGTCTTTGTAAAATATCTTTTTTTTAGTTTTTTTAAGGTTCATCTTATGCTCCAGTATTTTCCTAATTCTATTCAAATTCTTAGACCAAAACTTCCTGGGAAATGCTTTAATTTAGTATACGATAATGTCAACATACACATATTTACTGCAACCATTGTTTGTGTAGACAAGTCTGATTTATAGATGAAGCTTGTAAATTATTGCACGAGTTGACACTACTAATAATGACACATGTATACAATATGTATATTTGTTGAGTCTGGATTCACTATGTAATACAACACAAAAACAATTTAATTTAAAGTGTACCTGGTATTTTATAGGATCTTTTTACAGAATTGAGAAAATAGGTTTCATTCGTAGTATACATGCAGTGTATGGATACCTCAGAAGAATGTGCGATGTCATACCCCCTTATTAAATTTGGACTTTACTAGTTTGCATGAGATGTATATTGATGATTTTTGGCATGACTGTACCAACATTTCTATTTAAGCATTTTTCGAATTCATATTTAACCTGACACTTTTACTGGAGTGATGCATCTCAGTATTTTAATATTTTTTTTTTTTTGATTATGTAATTCGATGCCTTTTAGATTGCCATGTAATATGTGTTTGTGTTGTGAAGAACTAGTAGGTGTGAATAGTTTTGTTTTGTAAATTCTTTGTTTCACTGCCTTTGCCAATAATATAATATTACCCACACCACATCGAGAGTAAATTTATTTTATGAATGCCTGCTTTGTTTAGGAGGACCTACTTTCATTAGAGTTGCTGACCCTCTGCTTAAAAAATAACAGTTGAAATTTTCCATAAATATCTTGATTGTATTTTGATATACTTCACTGGTTTACAATAAGCATAAGGTCTGTTTGAAAAATGACTGCAAATGCTGCTGTTTTTTGGCCAAAAACAAAAGTATTCTCAATGAGTGGACTGTGAGTGTGCTGTACATCTCTCAGATTGCAAGAAATTTGGTTCCTTGATAGTGTTTCTGTGTATATATATATATATATATAGACGATCCATTCATGCTACTGAGCATCTTTTGATGGTTTGAACTTCTTTCATGATCTTTTATCCCATATTTAACTTCAATTCTATTGCATGTTTTATTAATTGAGTTAGTGAACATTGTCAGAAGACTTGTACACAAGACTTGTTAGTGTCTACTCGTATGTCATACAATTTCCAAACAAAATAAACATTTCCACTTGTATTTTGGAGCGCTTATTTTACAATGTACAGGATATTATAATTATGGTGAACCTAAGTAATGATGGGTGAGAATAAATTGTTACCAAATAAAAATAATAATAATTATAATAATGAGTTGTGCTTTGTCAATTGAGAATTGCTGCTGAAACAAAGATAGAACAAGATCTATCTGGGGTAAGCACATTAATGGAGTGTGTGTAACACAAGATTCAAAACTAGAGCTACTTGGCTTGCAAGCCATGAATCTGTTGACTTTAACTGTGGCAAATTGTACCATCTCTGACATTAGTTGTATTTTGTAGTCACAATTATTCTATAATATTGTAGTCGCAGCTGTATCATTGAATAAACAGTTGCTTACATGACACAGATCATATAGTTACAGTCACATGCCTGAAATCTGAATAGACCATAATTGTATATCATTTTGTAATAGTGGATACTATGAGGTTATTACAGGAATACCGCAAAGTATGCACGAAGACAGTACAGCTGGAGTATCGATCGACGCACAGCAGAGGGTGATACGCACTGTACTGTCTGAGTGCATACTTTGAGGTACAGGTATTCTCGTAATAACCTTATTGTTATACATCTTTTCCTTACAAGGATACATCATGGAAATGCCGAAATCTAAAAAGTTTAGAATAGAATCAGCGAACTTCCTTGTGTGGAGTCCGGTCAAACCCTAGTGGCAGCCATGTTTGTTTTTATTATTAGAGGACATTTGCGCGTGTAATCATTCCGTATTTAAAATTCGCATTTCCTAATATGGTAGATTGAAAATACCTCGTAAAATGCCGGCATGCTGTAACTTATGGCGTATGGTAACAAATGTATAATAATATATATCGGTACTTATAATTGATTACCTAGATTTGAATAGACTGTATTGTTGCATACCGTATATGAATTGTGAGTACCGGGGGTATAACTTTCCATAATATTTCAGACATTTTAATAGAGCTGTATATTTTGATTGATCATATCCTTGAAATTTTAAATGTCTTGCCTAAAAATTGAAAACCATACAGTTATTACCCAGGATATCAAATGAACATTTGTCTTGTTAATTAGCTTGTGGATCTGTCAGTTGCATTATCTCAAAAGTTTATAGACTGATTCCCCTCAAATTTGGTACAGGGTCGATACATTATGGTACATACATTCTGTTTTTTTTTTCTATTCAGGTACAAAATAACTGACTGGCAGCCATATTTACCCCCAAAATAGCCTAAAAACCTGGTACATTTTATATGTGTAGAGCATTAATTCAAAGTTGTGCTGGGTAATATCTGTTTACATACGAGGTACATTATTTTTCTGATTTTTGGGGCAAATTACTAAAAAGCCATCAATTTTCATTTTTGGCATAATTCTGCTTATATCTCAAATTTACACTTACCAATTATGTTCAAACTTGGTTCACAGACAGTTGTCTTCTAGCACATTAATAAACATTGATTATGTCACAATCTAACTCATGATGGTCGCCATTTTGTTTTGACGAAAATCAACAATTTTCACCTTTTGCAAACAGTCATTAGAGACTCACGAGTAGTAGCGTTTTCTTAAAACACCAATATTTGAAACAGCTATTTAACATGCAAAATATCCTAGAATGTACAAGCTTGATATCCAAACGAGTCAACACACTTCACACATGATAATGACATTATTTTCTGTCTGATCAGAGAAATCGCTATCTAAATACTAACACTGCAAGGTGCATATTGAAAACAAACTTTTCGCAAAAAATTATATTTGTCTACTAGGATTTCAAACTGTTTTATTTATTTATTTATTTATTTATTTATTTATTTATTTATTTATTTATTTATTTATTTATTTATTTATTTGTTTATTTATTTGTTTATTTATTTGTTTATATGTTTTTTATTTATTTATTAATTCAATTTCTCAAATGAAATACACCTCTTACTGAATTTATTGTGTTACACTGTAAGGGATTGGTCAGTTACTTCGGCCAAGGGGGGGGGGTCGGCAGATTCCATTTTGCCAGCTGCAAATCTCAGTTGACCCACCCCCTATCAAATAAAGAAAAGTGGGTGACCCCCCCAAACATATTTTAAAACTAAAAACATGCTGACCCCCCCCCCCAAAAAAAAGAAAGAAACATTAACAGTTTTGGCTCTGACATGATTACAAAATGTATTATATGTGCATTGAAAATATCATGGTTTGCCATAATTGTTAGCGTTTGCATTTAATAGACCTTAGGAGAGGAGGGGAAGCATAAAGCCAAAAAATTACTACAGAAAAGGCTGCAGGAAGGAGGGAAATCTATGTTGCTAAAGATAGTAAATAAAAGCAAAGCTGTGGAGTACTCACTCGATATATGCCCTTAATTTTAATTTATATATCAGCATTTTCACAAATTTTACTTTTTTGACTTGCTGAACAAAAACTGTCACTGCTCTTTGTACTAATTGCTGTGTTGTTTTTCCGTCTCCTGTTATAATTGGATAAATCCAGTAAATATCTTATACAATGGTGAGTGACTTCAGACTTTAAATAAAATAATCTGATATCAGCAGCACATGGACTTGGGATGTGTTTAAAACTTAACTGTATAATTGGGGTTCTAGACGCATGGCATAATCTGTTAGTTATTTGGCAACTTTAACCTCAAAATATTTAGCCTATAACATTTTTTGCATCAACAAATTCATTGGCAATATAGGTAATAGTTATTATTAAGAACACATTTGTACGATTAACTTTTTTATCGTTTGTTCTGAAATAAAAATTTTAAAAATATATGCATGAGTGCGTGTGAATTCTGGAAAACATGATATCAAAAACAGGGTGACCCCCCCTATTCGCACAATCAAAAACAGGGTACCCCCCCACTGATCCACCGACCCCGACCCCCCCCCCCCAGCCAAAGTAACTGACCAATCCCTTAGGAAGGAAAAACTTCACATGTTTTTATTTTAACATTGTAGTCTGTGGAGTAGACTGGCAAAGTCGGGACTTCTTTTTTGTTTTACTAAAAGAAATAATTGTTGTTTTAGTCATTTTAGTGTGAGCGCGAAAACTAACCTGACCGCTGAAGAAATCTCCTTCGCAGTCAGTCACGCTAGTTTTTGCGATCACGTAAAAAATGGTAAATTGACAATTAAATATTTTTTTGTAAAACAAAAAAAAAGTCCCGACTTTGCCAGTTTATCTGTGGAGATCACCAATGCATATTACAGCGATATCAACTTTCAATAGAATAGCGCCGCCCCACATCAGAACGGGAAAGGCAAGGTTTACGTGACGTCATCTCCTAGGTGACATAGCTTGACAATAATGGCGGTGGTAGCGTAGAGCTCACTGTAAATAATCCGAACATCAGGACCTTTCTCACGTTTTAGAAGGATACCACCCGACCCCTGCCAACATTTAGTTAACCATACTTCGAGGTGCTCATACGCTTCGATATCGACTGGTATTAATAGTGAATGTGAGGTCAATCAAACCAAGAACAACTTTTGCCGTCTTGTTTCATTTGCTCCAGGTAGGTTACATGTTAATTGCAGTCTATGTAGTGACAAATCGGACGTAACAACACCGTTATTTTGTGATTGATTGATTATAAATCATGTCTACCGGTAGTAGAACAACTGGTCTATCACTGCAATAATTATCAGCCTTCGAACATTGCTGTATCACAGACCAGTCGCATCCGAATCTGTATTTCTTAACAGACGAGGGTTGTGGACGAGTTTCAAACAAAAGGGATGAAGCGATTATGGACTATGTTATGATGAGTCGTCTGTGTTACTGTATATCAACATTCCAAAACTCATCGTTATTGCAAATACTATAGTAATAATATAGCGCTAGCGGTAATACCCAATCACTATACCATGTTCAACAATGAGAACTGTATAAAAACGTTGAAGTGCATATATGAACTGTACTCCAATTTTTCATTTTCAATTCAACCGATGCTCTTGGTCTATGCTACATAACCTGGCATAAATTACATCAACTTTATATTTTGTTTTGATCATTCTATTTAATTCATGTTCAACAATGATTGAGGATGTGCATGCTACATGGGTATGTTAATTTATTACACATTGATTTATTACTTATTGATGATCATAAAATTATTATTGTTATGGTTTACAGTTTCGTAATATTGACTCACACTAGAATAAAATGATTTATAATATTTCCTCACATGTACTCATGCATAATGTGTGTATATTCTTTAGACACTTCACAGTGTTGTATATGCTAGTACATGCTACCAAGAGGTTGTCTGTAGCGGGTCACAATTGCAGCAATATATATAAACAAGTAGAATCTACACAAAACATGCGCAGAGGCTTGCATTAGAAGGGAAACATTTTTTTCTTATATTTTTTTTAACTTTATTTGGAAGTTGGATAAATTAGCTTTTTGGATCTCTTTACCCCAACGTAACTTGTGTAAAAAAGAAACCGATTTTTGCTGACGTAAAGAGGTTTAAATATGACAGTTTAAACTCTCTTGAAGGTAACTCCATCTATTACATAATAGTAATGCATTACCGATATCATTCTAAATTGATTTGAGTGACTCAGTCAACTCGCAAGTTTTAAGACATTGCAAAACTGAAAATATGCTCCTTAGCTCCAACATAGAGCTATAAGGAGATTAGCTTAGAACTTGAAAGGCAGCCTTTTTCAACTTCAAGGCAATATTTTATAAAATTTCTATTGTAAGTAGGAATTGTATCAGGGAATTTTGTATTTATTTCTTTGAGCATCGGCAATACAGTTACCATCAATGCCTCTGTGAAATTCAAACCTTGTGCTCCATGTCTTATATATATGTATATTATGACATTTTATATAGCCCAGTATTGTCAACTATTATTGTTTGCTTGAAAAAATACACAGAAGACAAAAGTATATTGTCAATCAAAACACTGCCGAATTACAAGTCAGCGTCATTGTGCGCATTATCCAGTGCCCGCCATATTTACGCCTCTTGTATGAATTGCTGGTGTGAACGCAAGATTATGAGATCCTTATTTTTTTAATTACGGAGCAAAACTTATGCCCATGTAACTTTTCCTAGTGAGAACAGTATTAAATAAAGTACATACACGTACGTGTGTAGTTGATTGTTGACTAGCAAAGATGCATTATAAAATTAATTAATTAATTAATTAATTATGGGTACATCAAATTATTTTCAAAATAAACCCCATTTTTAATTGATTTCCAAAGTTTGGAGGAAAACTTCAAATAAAGGAAATACTGTACCTTTCATTTGGTTTTTCTATTTAACCAAGTTAGTAATTAATTCTTGTTTTGAGGCAGTGCCTTAAAGGTCTGGTATTTCATAGTTACTATATATAGCACTCATAATGTAGTCATTTGCAGTACTTAGAAATTATGTAATTTAACTGAGCCTTAATGTAGCTGGACACACCACACCTGTGGAGTCATGACCCATGCTGCTATTCAGAGTCCAGAGTCTAGAGTCTGAATACAATATGTATTGTACATGAGTTACTGATTTTGTCTTTTAGCTTTGCCCAGGAAATGTGTATTGATTATTGAACAGTAATAGGCTTGATGATTACAGCAAGTCACAGTGAGATGGGGATGTGTACTATTTCTTATTATTCCTTTATAAACCTTATATGGAGACACTTTTCACTATTTCATTTGCTGAGTATTCACCACAGCCCCCTTCTATCAGCTCTAATATAGAACACTATGACATTCAATGCTTTCAGTGGCCACACCTCCCTGGTTACAACAGTCTGCACAAAACATGCCAGCTTCTGATTGTACAACTAGAGGCAAACTGTCACTATGATATAAATGACTGTTGACTACTGCTTTTGTCATTGAAAAACAATGTAAATACTGCAGAAGTGAACATGTACATGAAAGAAAATGTTTTAAACATTTTGTCGGTTGATTTTCCTGTAGGAATTGCCATGAAAACTGTTCTGATTTCAGTTACTGGTGGAGATTTGTGTATGTTCACATACATGCCATTCAAGTTCAATGTGAATGGCTCTGTTACTGAGTAGAAGGCTATTGTGTACTTTAATAGGTTCAGTGGCACTGTTGATTCTGTAAACTAATCCCCCTGTGTTCAGTATCATAATCATTAAAGATGATTTTATGCATTTATATACTTAGTTTAGGACAGTACATCCCAAATAATTAGATGGCTATCAATGAAGGCAATTATTTCTGAAATAAACTGTTTTTTTTTTATCACAAACTTAAGTAAATAAAAAAAACTCAACTTGTTTTTTATGTGCCCTAACCATAGTTTTGGAGATAATTAATTATTTCCCACATTATTGCTGCTTTCAAAATATACCCGGTGACAATTATCAAAATTGAAAGTAACTATTATGCAGTACCTGCAAGGAAAGACTTTTTACTAATTCTGACAATCCATTTTATACACTCAAATAAAATCACAAAAACATTTATATTTTATTTAAGAAAAAAACAAGACGGTGCCCTCTGGCCTAGCTGGGGTAAAATAGATATTTTAATATGCATTTTAATTTATTGTGAATTATAAATGACCTGAAATGTTTTTTTTTTTTTATATATATGTACATCATAACATGTATTGATATAAGTCATTATGATTCAACTTGCATTTGAAAGATGCTGGAAATTTGTGGATAACCAGTAATATAGGGTGTTCTTGTGCTGTTATAAATTCTTGCACAAAGTTAGTGTTTAAATTTCAATGATTTAGCAATGGCTACTGGGAATAAATTCCAATGTATAACGGCCTGTATCATTGTTTACATGTCCATTGGAGACATTTCTATGTACAAAAGGAAAGCTGCAGACAATAGTACAAGGTCTTCAAACTATAAAAGCTGACAAAGAGAAGTTGACAAATGTCGAAGGTGGCTGCAAGGGTTAAGGGTATTTCACAGGATACATGTTGGCAACCTTTTAAACATTTCATGTATTTCACCAAAATGAAGGGAAATTTAAATGATGGTTTGTTCCTAGTTCTTTGATTTGGTTTTTTTTTTTAATAATGTTATCAGTTGAATATACAATGTAATAAAGGCAGGGCTTGAACTTGAACATACCTAGGCATCAAATTTCTTCAATGCTCGAACGTTTGCCTTGGTGGTCTTTGAAAAATATTTTCTCTATCTCCTATACATCAAAGCAATTTTATCAAATTTTGCTGTGAAAATTTCGCTTATCCCTTGTCCTCTGAACCCTGAAGTTCAAGCTATATAATGGTTATATTATACATGCATATAGAATATCCATTGATTGTACAATGTATTTTTGACAAACCTAAATAGTGAAGCGGAAGTCCAGTTAAATTCAGCTGGATATGCATGTACTTTTCATTTACATATACATGTCGTCCTTGACAACCTTATTGTATATATTGAGCTTCTGTACAAATGATAACCCTGTCTGTCAGTTAGCTTGATTTATCATAGTTACTGTACTCCCATGATGCAACAGGCTTTAATATTACCCTCATCCCCCTCCATGCTTACAGAGACAAAACAATTAATCTGTATGGTAGTCCCATGATGCAACAGACTAATTAGCTCTGTTCCATGCTTACAAACAATGATTACTGCTCACTGCACAAGTTACCTGGAGAATACATTTTTGTGAATGTCATGAATCACTGTAGCAGTGAAACTATTGCAAAGTATAGTCCACACAAACATCATTAAATCGTCAAATTGTGAAAATTTCTATTACCAAGAATTATTTATATTTTTTTTAAATAGGAGGTCAGTTGGTTCAGCAACAGAAAAATACCGCCATGCTTGTTGGGTTCAATTTTAGATATTAATAGTATATGACATTTTATATATTCAGAGTGTAATCATAAAACCATTGCAGTTTTTCATAGTCACAACTGATAAAATGAAGGCATTGACTCATGATAGTTACTGTGTTAGATCTGATACCACTCATGAACAATAGTTTGGCTTCACTACAATGTATTTGGGCATGTTTGGTCCAATTACTTACTGGTAATGATGTTGTCATGGATACAACTATTCGTCTTGTATTATCCCTGTCCGCTATAATAGGGATACCCACAAATTGTCAGTTTCAACTTGAATGGACACTCACAGTCGTACAGAATTAACATGGTACAAATATTTTTCATTATTTTCTTTTCCAATTCATACATGACTTGAAGTTGTTCTGTCTCTATTAAATAAAATAAGTGATAAATCATGTATAATTACCTGTAATATTGTAGTGACAGCATAATTCTGCCCAAGCTTAGATGCTAAGTACATTCACATGCTTTTAAAAACAGTCTTACTTTAAACAGAATTTTTAACTGATTTTGTAAAGTGGTGATTGATTTTATATTATTATTTAAACCATTATACCTCAATTAGTGTATGATATATTAGTTGTAACATGACATTTAACCCATTTATCACCCTTGCCAATGTTTGTGACATGCTATACATTGTTGTGTACAACTTTGTACATCAAATCACTTGCCAATGAAAAAAGATGGCCAATGGGTTGCATCCAGTCCTCCAGAGAGTGTCATCTATAGAAATCTTCTGGGATTACGGTATAAGATGACAACTTACCGGGGCCCTGGCTGAAATGTCGCCTTCTTGACCATCTCTCTGATGGTTATTTTGTCATTTCTTATGATGGTGTGTGTCCTGCATTCTTTGTACCCATCATGTGACAGATTTCAACAAAATGGAGACTACTCGACCCTTAGTTTACAGGTCACATTTTATGTAACTTTGCCATGCATTTTGGTCTGAATCAATAATCCGGTTATTTGGCCGTTGTTGCGTGGTTGCATTTACCGGTAAATAAATGTTTTTTCAAAATTGTTGCTTTAAAGCTTAATTTATTCCCCTTTACTGAATAAAACATAATACCCTTTCATCATCAAGTATTTTACAATGCCACTTTCAATATATCACAAATTGTAAAACTCTATTATTTAGTATTCTCTAATTCAATAAAATATCACTTATAAAGTGAGTCTGTCTTGCACAGTGTGTCTATATAAGTGCCAGTCACGTAGTCTACGCATTATAAACCACTTATTTGAATAATAGCACAGTGCTAATATTTTGTCACAGGATGGCCATTAACCATACTTAACATCTATTAATTACTAATAAATCACTCATAATGTTGCCTCAATAATGCTTTTAGCAAAATACGAAGAGTAAAAAAACAAATAAGTGATACATGTATCAGCTTTTTTAGCTCCGCTGTCGACAAAGTCGACACAGCAGAGCTGTTCATATTACTGATTGTCCGTCGTTGTCGGCGTCCGTCATCGTCAATGTTACAATTTCAACATCTTCTATGAAACCACAATTCAGAATTTTTTCAAATTTGATATGCAAGTACTATACCTTGGATGGTTCTTTCTCAGATTTGTTCATTTCATGTCAAAATCTCAAATTCTCTAATTTTGATATTTTCAACTTCTTGTTAAAAACGGCAAGTCCAATTGCTTTGATATTACATATATAGGTACTACATGTGGACCTCTCTCAGATTTGTTCATTTCGTGATGAAATATTTAATTCTACAAGTCCAATTGCTTTGATATTACTTATATAGGTACTACATGTGGACCTCTCTCAGATTTGTTCATTTCATGATGATATTTTCAATTCTCTAATTTTGATTAATATTTTTGCCATTTTTTGGTAAAAAGTGATATTTGCGACTTCTTGTTGAAAACCGCAAGTCGGATTGTTTTTATATTACATATATAGGTACTACATGTGCACTTCTTTCAGACTTGTTAATTTTGTGGTGATATCTTCAATTATCTAATTTTGATGATTATTTTTGTCATTTTTGGTGAAAAGGGATATTTTTGAATTCTTGTTGAAAACAGCTAGTCCCATTGCTTTGATACTACTGGTATACATATCGTTCATTTTCTAATGATATCTTCTGTTCTTTAATTGAAATGTGCATTGCTAACAGCGGAGCTATCTCAGCCGACTGGCTGCTTGTTTTCTCATTCTAATGATGTTTCAGTTCGCATACACAGAAATAGAAATAAAAAAGTTCAGTAATGTATTTACATAAATTTCAGTTATAATTGATTCCATCATAAGAAAGTACGGCAGGCCTTTGGCTTACCCAAATACAGATATTTCCTATACTACTAGTATCCATGCTACATTACCACTGATAGGGAGAAAATAGTCTTACAATGCAAAGTAGGTACAACATGTACATTTATTCTTGGTGCAAGTAGACATACAGCAAATGAAGTAGTCTGGAAAACTGATTAAAAATTATGAAACTGAAATATTACCAATGCCCAAACACATTATACTACCAGTATTATACTTTTTAGAGACATGAACATATCTTTGAATACTGGTGACTACGTGGAGATAATGTGCAGCAAATAAATTGACTTTTATGGTTTTCAGTTAAAATACATAATAAATGTATGCCAATATATTCTGATAACTGTCCAAATACCAGACAGGTGTTAATTTACTCACATCAGAAGTTCAAGGCTAAGCACAGCTTTCGCAGATTAATTTTTGTGGGTGCACTGCTCCTGTTTCAAGTAAATGGACATGTAGTCCACAATATTTGTATCAACTTTAGCATTGGGTCGTTGATCATCAAAACCAATGCACAAAATTGGTAATTTATTCATTATTGGTGCTAGCTCTCTCTTCAAATTTCTTAATGTTTACCATATATATTTATGCACTGTCATGTACATTTCCAGTCTGTAGTTTCTGCAGTCAATATCGACTGTAACAGGTCTTGTAACAGGTAAATATTTATTGCCACAAATTGTCATGCATATGTGTGCGTTTGTCTCACCACTCGTATCCAACATAGCTCAAACATGCTTAGATCAATCAAGTTTAAATTCTTGCAGACATTATATCGGATTCCTGATAGCCAAATGGCAGCCATCTTAGAGCTAAAATTATATCAAAGTCACACCTTTTCACGATTCTTAAACAGGATCTCAGTTGTGCATAAATGGATTTTGTGTGCATTAAACATAATAAGACCTTGATGCTTATTTTTCGAATTGGGTTCAAAATAGATTACTGGCAGTCATCATGATTTTGTTTTGAAGAATGCAATTATGGATTCACGTCTCTGACTTGCCTGGACCAATCAAGTTCAAACTTTACACGTACATGTATATCAGACATCATACAGTATTGGACAAACTCAAATTTTGACGCATCAAATCCAAAATGACTGACTGGCGGTCAACTTGTTTAAAGGAATGCAGTTACGCACACCATATCTCATACATGTTGCTTGATATTATGTATATCGCCTCGGTAGTCATGTGATATCTCATGCCTATACCGTTATATAAACAGAGACGATGCCATTGACAATAACTTGTTTACAATATTTTGGCGAAAACAATAACAATTTGCTGTCCTCAAACTGACAGGATACAAATCATTTTGATTGTTCTTAGATAGACCAATTTTTTTTTACTTTTCTCTGGCAATTAAACCACCTGCAGCAAATGGCTACATTCAGATGCTATCAATCCACCTGGATATTTGTTGAGCAGAAAATAAAACTATTTACATGTTATTTCACCTTTGTGTTACTCCCTTGCCATCTATATTTCATGTCATGACTAACAAAACCCACTCATAATAATTTAACCACTCAGATAAAAAAATGTTAATTCTGTGTTCAGCTATATCTTTCATGATTCGATCGATTCAGTATAACCTTGTAGAATTGTATTCAGAAAGACAATAATTAGATATATCATGTATTTATAATAATATGTAGATATATTTAAAATTATGTGGATGTTTTGGTAATATGCTGTGTTGTATAGTCACCTTGACAACATGCAGTTGCACCTTTACCCTACTAGTGACATTCATGTGTTTGTGTTATTCAACCTTTAGTCTGCAGTTGTTTATTTTAACCTACCTATGGAGTCCATTGTTAACAGAGACTTCTATATCACATTATCAGTCACCACAGCTACATTTGGTGGTTAAGTTCTGTGTTGTTTTTAGCTGATCCTCTCAAGTACATAATAGGGCCATAAATGAATTCAGTGAGTTATTGTACGTCAAATGTTTTTTTCGCTGTTCCCTGTTCAGACTTTTATGTATCCCTTTTAGCAAATATATACACTGAATTTGTTGTTTTTTCTGTCTATATGTTAAAAGTTGATGTTTCATGCATGTACCATATTGTTTAGTGATCTGATCCGATAGGATAGACATATGTTTAAAACTGACATACATGCGTGATACATGTAGGCTGGGTCTATATTACCTGTGTACCCCGGTAGTAAGGTTTGTGCATATCAATCATTCAGTGAAATATGTAACAGGAACTGTCCTATACACTTGTTACAGCAGAGTATTACACCATCTGACTACGACTGAATGGATTTCTTCACCTGGCCAAGACCAGTTGATTGTCTAAGTCTAACTATATAGCTAATTTATTCCTGTTGTTTTTATTTTTAGATGAATTAGTGGATCAAGATGTCCAAAATAAGAGAGCAGCAGTCGATGAAGTTTTCTGAATCTATCGGAGCGACCCAACCGAGTCATTCACAGAAAAGTGGTAGAATGAATCGTACACCAAGTGACATCATAAGTTATGAGGATCTTTTAATTGCACATTATCTTGAAGAACTTCGTAAACAACCCCCACCACTTGCCAAGAAAAAGTAGGTGCAATTTATTGATGTGCATGTTAAATGCTGAATGCAATATGCAAATATGATCCTTGTGGAGAAATGTATCTTCCATTTCAATGAATACCACAAAGTCACACTGTAACAGTAAATATATTTTATGTAGCTGCACTATTAACTGAAATATCACTGTCATGTTGTTTCACTATTTCTTCACAAAATTTTGTCTTGACCAGATAAACAGTCACTCATTTTGGATTTTCGTTAGTTTATTTAAACTACCAGTAAAGATGTAACAGTGATATTTCATTGAATTTACATCATGCTATCTTAATCGAGTAGTATTTGTCTGTGTCATGAATCTGCTAGTCTGTTAGAATATTATCAGGAACAAACATTTGAATGGTACATACAGTATATGTAGACATGCTGGCTAATTTCATTGATAATGTACAATGATGTGTGATGTGATTGGAAATGAAACTCACTCACATTCATGGCATTGCGTCATTCTGAATTCACTCATATGTAGTTAAATGTAAAACTTGTTTGAGACCAGTGACTAAAGTCGATTTGGTAACTAGACATTGTATTTTTATGCTGTATATAATATCACTAGAATATAGAGTTCAGCATTGTGACATCCCATAGGATCATATTTGCATATAAATGACCTGCAAATTACATGCTTTTGTGTTTGCATGGTGTGTTTGGTGATGTTTTTATTTGTGGTGTAATGTACGCATGTTGTATTTGTTGTGTCTAAATTTGGGTATAAAACTGAAGTAGGTGTCAAGTCTATATTGGTATGCAAGGTATACAAAGTGAATGCTATAATATTAATTGAACAGTTCACGCACAAACAGATACATGTAGTTAACTACCTCCTATCTTTCCACAACCTTCCCTCCATTAAATTAATACTTATTTTTGTTCTCATTTTATTTTCTTCCACTAACATCTTTCCCTTCATAACTTTTAACCTTTGTTTATCACTCAATATTTGATGTTTCAGACCAGACGAACGTTCTTCTTTAACCAGGTATGTGTTTGTGTTTTTCCAAACATCGCTCCACACCCTCTTCCAAATTAGTCCTTTTTAAGTTTGGATTTGATTTTTAAGATATGATATCTAATTGCATGTCATTATGTGACCTGTTTGATTAGGATTTTTGTCCAGACTTGCAGTAAGCCAAATCAGTTTGAAAACAAAATGCATAAAATTAAAATAATACCCTGGAGTGTTTGATTGCTCCAAATTTTATTTCCCTTGTATTCCTGAATCCAGATATATTTTTGCTCCTCCTCATTTACCATATTTACCATCAACTAATATTTGATATATTAACGCATGTAATCAGTGTGTATGACTAAACCATGTTGTGCGACTGCATTTATTACTGAATACATAATATTTAACATAATGTTAGTGACATATTATGGCATGTGTTGAGATTTCAGTACAGCAAAGTTTAACATTAATTTTTCTCCAGTATAGCAGTTTTCCTGTCTGTGTATTTTTAGTCATTTTATCAACTTTCCATCTGAGTTT